CCATTCTTAGGGAAGCCAGATACCAGAGGATAAGTCACGCTGCAGACCTCCACAACACCACTCCTGCTAACCACAAGATGGCCGCTGTGCCACATCAACTGATGGTCAACTCTGCTTACCAGAACTGCTTTCCTGAAACTGTATTCCATGGAGACTCACCTACAGTTGCGGAACTGCACGAGACCCACACTTGATCCAACCTTGAATGGAATCTATTTTCCCTATTGTTAAAAACTTTGGACTCGTGACCCCTCTCCCTCTACTCGCAGGTATCGCATTTTCAATGACCCCTCTGGAGGATAGCTGTCTATAGCAGAGATAGAGTAATTGGGAGAGGGGGAAAGGGCTGAGGGTCAAACATAGGATAAAAAACATATTTATATGTATGAAAGTAGAAATGGAACAGTATTGGTGACGACATGCTTGATTAAGACACTATGTAGTTTATCCTAGATGGGAAACTACACTTGGTGTGTTGTGATGATACTCAGGGAATGAGTGTTAGGCAATATAATTTAATATAAAAAAAGTAATAAGCAGGAGGAAAAAAAAATGCACATTTGATGACTGAAGAGAGTTGTATGGACACAACTGGGGTCTACTTTATAATATGTTCATTCTACTCCCTGGGGTTTATGCCTAGGATCAGATTTGGATACATGTGTAAGGATATGTCAGCTGTGCTAGCTAGTGGATATACTTAGACTAATTGAGTTCATTGGTAGAACAATTGAATGGGGGGGGGCGGAAGCCATTGAGGGCAATCATGAATGTCAGGGACAATGGAGGAGGAAGATGGGACATGGCAGAGGGTGGGGATGGGGAACCTAGGATGGCAAAACAAAAGGCAAGGTATGCAGGACACAAAAATTGGGAAATCATTTGCTGAGAACATATATGTTGATGTGCTTGATTGAGCCAATGCACAGTGTATTTTGGATGGAAAATTCATATGTGTGTTGTGATGAGAAAAAAAAATTTATAATAAAAAACAAAGTATAAAAAAAAAAAAAGGAGGGAGAAGAGGATAAAGACAGCAGTGAACAATAGAGAGGCAGGATGTTAATGAGAAATAGATATGGTTTATTACCTGTTGATGATGACATGTATAGTATTCTCAACTGAACCGGTCTGGAAAGTATTTCATGATGGGTGAAGTCTTTTTAATAAGCAAAATGAGAAATAGTGATTGATTGTTTAAAAAAATTATAATAATAATTATTGGGAAAAGCATGGAAAAGATATTGAATGATAAAGCGGGGAGATTGATATCTCTGTATTGACTGACATGCATGGCATTCCCTTTTGAAAAAATAATAAAAAAAAAACCTATTAATACCTATTTAATGTCTGCAGTAAGCTATATAGCCCCAGTGAGGTTCTACTTTATAGTATGTTCACTTTACTTACTGAGGTTTACACCTAAAGTCAGACATGTGTTCATAGATAAGTATATATCAGTTGTGCCTACTATTGAAAGTTTTTAAATTAAGACCTTTAGTGAATCAATAAAATGTGGGGGAAAAAAAGGGGGGGCACGGAAAACAACTACATTACCAGAGACACTGTGGGAGAAGGGAAGGAACTGGCAAAGGGTGAGAAGTAGGCAATCAATGGGGGGGAAAAAAGCAAAATATGTAAGAAACAAGAAACAGAAAATTATTTGTTAATGATAAAATGTATGGTAATATTCTTGATTGAGTCAATATACAATGTATTCTGGATGGAAAAATCTCATTTTGTATATTTTATTGATGTACGGTGATGACTATAAATCAATAAATAAATATATAAAAGAAAAAACTTTTAATCAGTTATAAGTGTATCCACTTGAGTAGTTTTTATGCATATTATTTTGATCAAAATAATAATATATTATACATAATAAATTTATAATTGCTCATTTTAGTAACAGGAAATACACCTCCAAACTATAAACTACTATTTTATTTTATTTATTTATTTATTTATTGAGAGGTTTCTGCCACAAGGTGCATGCGCTTGCCAGAAAGACAGAAACAGAGAGACAGGAAGGGAGAAATCACCTCCCAGGGTGGCTGGCCATGCCACAATCCCTTCTCCATTCTTCTCTCAGGATCCTGGGCACACACGCACACGCGCCCGGCATGAGTCCAAGCCACCTGGTCCAGGACTCAAACCACAGTCAACTACATGGGAGTCCAGTGACATAGCCATTATGCCAACTG